TGTGAAGAGAGGTTAAAATAAAGGCAGCAAAGGAAAAAAGTTAAATGCATAGTACAGGCACTGTTTGGCCAATTTTAGTATAAGGGCACTAATAAGTTTTAGCATTATATTGGTCTGTGTGCTGACTTATAAGGTGTTTAAAAATTTAAGAGACTGAAATGTTAGACCTGTGTTTTAAGTGCTTAGGAGAATTTTATTAACTTTGTAATCGTGTTTAAATACTTGGAATTTTGTAGGCTAGATCCACGCATTTTTAATGGATTAACTGTGTGGGTAAATATTTTGAGGAATGCTGATTGATAATTCTTAAGATTCGTAAATTTAATATTAATAAAGTACAATTAGTAGTGAAGAGTCTTTTCTATGCCTGAAGCCATTGGTACACCTAAGAATCTATCAACTTGTTCTTGCCAATGGAGAACTAATCCCCAGATACTTCTGGTACCATTGTTTCCTTTTGTTGGAAAGTTGGTCCTTAAAGAAATCACTTTTAAAAAACCACCGCAGGGACTCTGAGATGCTTCTTCATGGTAGACTTCCAGTAAGTCCTTTGCAGAGCACTTCACATGCCTACACAATAGTCAGAAAATTAGGTGCATGAATTTATTTTTGCAGTTGGGAACCCTCCCTGCAGTTGGGTTGGCAAAGAAAGAGGGTGTGAGGGTTCTGGAAGCTCCCTCTGCCGAGGGGAAAGATTAGAGTGAGGAGGAGCCCGTTAGAGACCAGCGCAGAAGGTACAGGCAGTTTCTGTGGAAGGCAGCTCTCCCATAGAGGTGCAGGGTATGGAAGAGGGCAGCCCCACACTCAGAGGGTCTTACACATGTGCCCCAGGACCACGTAGGGGTATAGTAGAGACACCGTTAACCACTGACTGAGCTGCTCATTGATTCACTCCCCTTGTCCATCCACCCAGCATTTGGCTATTTAGCAGCTATTTTGTACTAAGTTTTGTTCTGGACAGTTGGGTCACCCTAAGAGTCTTTGGTTTTAGGAGGGAGAGTAAGCAAGAAAAAACAAATTTAGACAGCCAACCCCTACAGGCCCAAGAACCTTCCACATTTCTCCAGCCTCCCAATGAGACTATCTTATAGAATGAATCAGATACCTTTCTGAAGCTAGATATCTCACCTGTCATTCTTGCCTGAGCAGTTTTTCTGTTGCTGTGTCATAAGAGGAAATTAAATTGCACTGAGGACTGATTTGCTCTTCACGGACACTTTCAATTTTCGCAGTATATACTGTACTCTCCCACATGATTTCAAATGGATGATTGTTTTTGTTCTGAGTGTGGTCCTTAGGCTAAGCCAATAAACGTGTACCTGTTGAGTTTACTTCCCCCTTCCTTTTCCCTCCTAAAACATGAGAGGTGGGAAGGAAGGGTCTTTGGAGACATGTGTTATTCGTGAATTTTCAGAGAGTTTACGTGAACCGCCTACCAGCCCCCACAGTGGAGCACTGGCGCCTCCTCTGTGCAGGTGTAAGCCAAGCCTTGGTGTGTTCCTACGGTGCGGGAAGGTGAGGGCAAGGAGTCTGCTGCTTACTTGCCACTTGCCCAGTTAATCAGTACAGGCAGAACTCGGAGATATCGTGAGTTCGGTCCCAGACCACTGCAATAAAGCCAGTCTTGCACTTAAGCAAGTCATCATCTTTTTTGCTGGTGGAGGGTCTTGCCTTCCATTTATAAAACATACAACATCTGTGAAGCGCAATAAAGCAAAGTGCAATAAAACAAGGTCTGCCTGTATATTGGTAATACAGAGCTAACCTTCAGGGGCAAAGGAGAGTGGCGTTTCTAAAGCAAATATCTCCTTAGATGCTACTATATAATAATGATTGGCATCTGACCACTATGTGATTGTTATTTATTAGGAATTTAAAGTTTCAGTTTCCCAGGAGCTATATGGAAAACTATTACATGAAATACATACCACCAAAACAAGATTTAACCCAGCCTCTTAGAAAGCAGCCTCTCTCTAATCTTGGGCATCTGCCCAAGTCACACTATTCATATTTCTGAGAGCTGTTGGGGCCTGTTTATCATCATAACAAACACATATGAGATGCCTCTTTATGTTTCAGGCTCCATGCTGGGCATGGGTGCAGAGGTGCAGCGCCTGCCTGCTCTCTCTGTCCTGCCGGTCTTGCAGCCCTGCCATTTAGCCATCCTAGTTAAAGACACTGGAGAAGTGGAATAGCACTGTGGAGGACAAGTTGACATTGTAATACAGTTTTTTCTCATTGATTCTCACGGTGTGCTGTTGCTTTTTGAAAACCTGCTTTGTACCCCAGTAGCATTGAGCACACCCAGTGCCCAGATGTTGGCTTCTAAATACCATTCTTCGGTAAAAGGAACCAGGGCTTCGTGAAGACATGGTTGATTCTAGGAAGGGCTGGGGCAGGGAAAATACAAAATGAGCCTGGGGCACCTTGTAGTGCCAGAAAGTAAGGTTATGCTAAAAAAAAAAAAAAGGAGGAGAAAGACTCACACTTAATTTCAAGCCCAGAAATACAGAGACACAGAGAAAGAGCAAACAGCAAAAAAAAAAGAAAAAAAAAAAAAAAAAAAGGAGAAAGAAGAAGAGGAAGGAAAAAAAGAAGAAGAATGTCACAAGGACACAGGAGCCAACCTGAAAGAGCTCCAAGTGGCCAAAACTTGAACAATTTGAGCAAAAAAATAAATATAGTATTGGGGTTATCACCTAAGAGGTAAAATAAATATCCATGAGTCCATACTGATTAGATGATTGAAAAATTAAAACATGGGTGAGAAGGGACAAACCTTTCTCATAGAGTTCCAATTACTAAAAGTAGAAAGAAGGAGGAAACCAGCAAATCCCAATGAGAAGCACAGTAACTGCTGTGGCAGAACCCACGGAGGAGTGCTGAATTAGTGGGCAAAATTTGAAAGAGGAATGGCATATCTGCATAACCTCAAAGTTATCCTCTCCAAAGTATTTCTCAATTACTGTGGTGGTTTTTAACTTATATGTACAGATTCTCTTCAGGAGGTAGAACTTAATTCCTCACCCCAAGTGTGGACTGGACTCAGTGACTCGCTTGCTTCTAAAGAGTAGAGTATGGGAAGGGAGAAATAGTAACTGGACAGTGGGAAACTTGGCAGACAACACTGTACGCAAGTGGTCAAGGTCAACACACCAGTGGTAGGAGATACTGATTTCACACACCCCTAATATGATGTGACAAGAAGGGCACTTCACCTCTGTGCTGTTTTCCCTGAAGTCCTATAACCTTAGTCTAATCATGAGCAAGCATCCCACAAACCTAAATTGAGGGACATCCCACAAAATACTTATGCTCTTCAGTGTTAAGGTCATGCAAGACAAGAGCAGGCTGAGGAATCAACACAGATTGGGAAAGACCAAGGAGACATGATGAATAAATGCCACATGGCATCCTGGATTGATCCAGGAACAGAAAAGGGACACCAGTGGGGAAACGGGAAATTCAAATAAAGGCTTAAGTTCAGGTAATACCATTGGATCAATGTCGAGTTCTTAGTTTTGACAAATGCACAGTTAATATCAGGGGAAGCTGGGTGAAGGGTGTATGGGAACTCTGTGCTCTTCCTGCACCACCTTAGTAAGTCGAAAATCATGTCCAAGCAAAATGTTTGCAAGTAGCTGAGATTGGTCCCTTTCTGTTGATGCCCCTGACCTGTGAAAACCCCTCCTCATTTCAGGGATGATGCAGTGTGTGATTGCCGTCGCAGACAAAGTTTTTGACGCCTTCCTGAACATGATGGCAGATAAAGTAAGCCTTGTCAGAGTGCCAGCGTGTGTCTGCCGGGGGCACACAGAGGGCACCTGCTGGACCCGTCTCTTCTGACTCTCCAGGCAAAGACCAAGGAGAATGAGGAGGAGCTGGAGCGGCATGCGCAGTTTCTCCTGGTGAATTTCAACCACATTCACAAGAGGATACGGAGAGTGGCGGACAAGTACCTGTCTGGTCTGGTGGATAAGTAAGCTCATTTTCCTTCTAATGTATGTATGTGTATGTGTGTAAACTTTAGATTTGGAATGCAGGGAAGGATCATCCTCACATTTATCAGTCCAGAAAAAAATGGAGTCAGAATTAAAACTCTCAAAGGGCGATGCAGCCTCCCACAGAATGTCAGTGAGTTTGCTGCAGTCACGAATCACAGCCGTTCGGTCTGCTCCCCGCAGCCCTTGGGTCCCAAGTTCAGGAGCAGCTTTTTCTCTTCACCCCAGGGTGTCATGCAAATACTGCCATTTTCTGTTTGTGCCATGATGTGAAAACATCAAGGAGCCCTGGTCATAAATGAAGAGGATTGCTTGGGGGAGTGGGAGAGTGTGGCCTGGCCAGTGGGTAACCAAGACAATTGAGTCAGGTTGGAAGCAAGTGACTTGGGCCTGTGTCTGGCCCTAAGGAGTGGAACTGGCAGGAGCCTGGGGAGCCTTTCTGACTGGCTGCCCTGCCTCCGAGGCCTCTTGACCTCCTCTGACCCTCAGCTGGACAGCCAGAGTGGGGCTCCCAGACCCCAAGGCAGCTCTTTAAGGAACACAGGTTCCCTGGCCATTGGCTCCTGGGCCCTGAGAGGTGTTCTTGGTGCAGGTTTCCCCACTTGCTCTGGAGCGGGACGGTGCTGAAGACCATGCTGGACATCCTCCAGACCCTGTCATTGTCACTGAGCGCTGTAAGTATCCCCGCCTACATGTGGCCAGATTGGGAGTGGGGAGTCCAAATCCCATCCTGGCCTTTCCCAGTAAGCTGCAGCAAGTTTGGAAGCCCATCATAGACAGGACACGTGTGGGGAAAAGGCAAACGCTCTGCCACTTAGCGTGGCTGTAGGTGCAGCGCGGCAGGGACCCGGGCAGCTCTGAGAAGGCCGTTGGAAAAGGGAGTCCTGTTGTGCTTGCAGGATATTCACAAGGACCAGCCTTACTACAACATTCCTGACGCCCCCTATCGGATCACTGTTCCTGACACGTATGAAGCCCGAGAGGTAGGCCTGGAGCAGTTCTTTTATTAAGTTAAGAGCCATTTCACTGCCATCTCCTGTGTCTGTCAGGGTCGGCCTGTTCCGCACTTTATGTCACTAAGTCTCCAGCAGTTTGAGGTGTGAGTGCTTGGGTCCCATCCCGCAGTTGCCGGGGTCACGGGATGAGCAGATGACTCA